CAGAACTCATGGGTTCTGGAGTCAGGGATAAGGAGTTGCAAACAACTCCACAGCTCACAAAGGAAGGGGCAGAGGTGAGCACAGAGGGAGACGGGAGGCGTGCACCCCAGGGAACAGGGCTCGCTGCTACCAGGTGGTGGCCTCTGCTGTCCCGCCATGCTGGATACTTGCATTCCCAGAGGTGTCCACTCCTGCAACACGTCCTGGACCCCACTCCAGATCAAGGCTCAGAGATGTGAGGAGACGTCCCCACGGTAACACAGCTATGTGGCAAAGCTGTGAGGAAGCCTAGGATTCTGGGCAATCCCTGCTTCCCCACTGTCATGAGGGGAGCAGGCTGGACTCAGTCCTGAAGGCAGGGACAAATGGAGCCCCTGAGAGGTATGTGACGGGGCTTAAGGGCATGGGCCTCGGACCAGGCTGCCTCATGCAAAGCTCTGTGCAGCCACTTATGTAGCTGAGGAACTTCTCTGAGCTGAGGAACTTCTCTGAGCTGAGGAACTTCTCTGTGCTGCAGTGTGCCACCTGTGAAATGAGACTAATATTGTGCCCATCTTACAGGGTGGCTATGAGGATTAAATGCGTTAACACTCTGAAGAAGAATGAGGTGACAGAAAGGCCTGCAGCCTGCCCTTCCTGCTGCAGTTGGGTGGCCAGGGCCATGTCAGGAGGTGACTCTCCCATGGTGACACAGTCCTGCGGGGCACAGACCAGGCCCAGTTCCAACCCTCTCTACATGGACATCTGTGCACCACAGAAGTCAGTGTTCTTAGTGGGAGGCGGTGAGACAGGAGGTGACAGATGTGGAAGCAGATCCAGGAGGAGCAGGTTGATGTCTTCTCTCCTGGGTCCCTGCCTGGGGGAGGCGAGTGTTCTGGAACCCGAAAAGGAAAGGAGGACTCGGGAGTTTGGAGGCGTGGTGGCAGCCGCGTGTCACCTGCGTGGCCTGTGCCTTCCCCTCGGGACGCTGCACCCCGGGGGCGCACCGTACCTCGCTGTCCCTGCATCCGCACAGTCTGTTGAAGGGGGCGCGCGCCCTAGGTATGAGATCACCGGTGTGCCGCGTCTCTCCTGCGTCGCTTAGGGTCTGGCGCCACCGTGTGGTCGCCGGCCAGGCTATCTGTGCGGAGAGCTGGAGGACCAGTTAGAAGTAGTTGGCCGGGTGGCATCAGAGGCCATCCAGACCAACCTGATGGAGACAGACGAGATGACGGCGGGACAGGTGGAAGGAGGGGGGACCGCTCCCACCACCCCCAGCTGGTGTTTCCTGGGAAACGAGGTGGCGCATCTGGGGGCATTTGGAGAAGGAATGCCTGCGCACTTGGGGACAACAGCTTGAGTGGGCAGGAGGGACAGGAGCTTTGACTGTGCTGTTGGGGGACAAGCAATGTCAGGGAGCCAGAGACCCCGGCTCTGCCTCTGTCTCTGTGATTGAGACAGGGCTCAGCTCACTCTCTGATGCTGGGGTCCTTGGCCATAAAGCAGCAGCAGGCTGGGTCAGTGTGCAGACCTCCTTGTGCTGCGAGCCAGGGCCCACCACCTCCCAGCCCAAGAGGAGAGCACGGGGAGAGCGGGGAGCTGACCCTCACTTAGCTCTCGCTCCAGGGAGAGGCTGTGTGCTCAGGTAACCAGGAGGCTGACACGAAGTTGGACAAGATGATCACCATGGGATCCTGATGTGCTCTGCGTCTGGCACCTGTTTGCTGGTGGGCTTTGAGACGGCTCTGGCTTTGCCCCTCCTGTGCCCTGGGAGGCGGTCCCAGAAGAGAGAAATCGGCTTCTCCTGCAACTCTTCCAGTCCCATTAGCATGTGCTGGGCTGCTCCTTTTCCTCTGCCCTGGCGTTGGTGGGCGGAGAGGCTGGGCCCTGGGGAGGATGGAGGGTGGAGGGGCAGGGAAGTGCCCCTTTTGCCCTGGGAAGGGCACACTTCAGTGAACTTGAGTGTTGGCATCACCTCAGGAGCTGGATAGCCAGGCTCAGTTCTGCCACACAATCGCTCCTTCAGCAGCTGGCCACTTGTGTGGGTAGGACAGACAGTCTGAGGTCTGAGTGGACCTCTTTGTGGCCTGGGCCCTGGTGGAGTCTATGCCCAGATACACAGGCAGAGCTGAGTTTTGGATCAGGGGCCACTTCTGATTGGTGAGTCCCACAGTACATGGCCATACTGGATGCCTTTTTCTCTTCCTCCTTTGATTCCCTCCTACTTCTCTCTCTTCCTGATTTTTTTTTCTCTCTCTTCCTCTTCCCTGTCTTGGTCTGTTCATCTCCAACCCTTCCCCTCCCTGGTGACCCACAGTTCTACCGATGGGACGGGGCGCAGCAGCTTCCCTCCCTCCCTGAGCATCTCCCCTGGATACTTGCTGTTGTGGATTCCCAGGCAGGGCCCCAGGAAGAGGCAGCAACTCGTGCGAAGCTGGCAGGGGCAGCAAGCGACAGAAGCTGAAACAACCAAAATCCAGTGCTTGGCTTCACCTCAGAGCTTCAGCCTCCCCACTGGCTAAACGTTGCTAAGTAGACCTGGCCCTCACGGCATCCGAGGACGCCATGAACTGGCAGACCTGCGGCGCCTGGCCGGGCGGACACCCTTTACCCTTGCCCCATCATCTCCCCGACAGAGTTGCCTCTTTCTTTGGCCCTTGCTTCACTTCTCAGTGGGGGTGTCTGTCCACCTTGAGGTGTATCCCAGGTGGGTCCCTTCAGGACAGTCACCCAGACCTCCGCCAAAGGCCCTCAGAAACCCAGACAGAATTCCGTGGCCCTGTTCTCCAGATGTTGAAGGGGGACCTGGTGCTAGCACGTTTGTGGCAGGTCATGAGCAGCAGGAAAGACAGGCGAGAAGCGGTGTCAAAAGAAGCGGGGCGAGGCCAGCAAGGGCAAGGCGGGGCCATGAGACCTGTGGGCTATTCTGAGTCCAGTGGAAAGCTGTGGCAGGCCAGCAGAGGGAGCGGCACCGTCACACTCTGGATCTGCAAGGAGCACTTTGGCTGCAGGTGAAGAGGTTGTTAGGTGGCAGAGTGCACAGTGCAAGCTGATGAGGAGGCTTCTGTGTCAGTGCTGGCCGGGGGCGGGCAGGGGGGACAGACAGGGCCATCCATAGCCCCAAGTGGGCACTTGGAAATGCTTGAAGACAGCAGGACCTCGATGGAGTGTCACTCGCGCACTGCATCTTTAAGATTTAGGCTGGGCGTTTCAGAAGGCTTAGTAATGTATGTCAGCTTCGCCCACTGGCCTGGCACCTGCGCTGAGGCTCCCATTCTTGATCTGACTGGGTTCACAAAGCCAGGACTTTCTGGCTCTTGGCTGGTTTTACCTGGGACCGTAAGTCCCCCTCTTGCCTGAGGTTGATGACATAACTGCAGCGTGAGTGCCCGCAATACACATCTTCTGGCTAATCAATTGCCCACCACTCTAGAGGCACTGTGACGAAAGAGGAGGGACAGGGGCACAGGGCTGGGACAGCTGGCTCAAGGTACCAGTTTGCAGAGTTGACCTGGAGCCTGCTGTCCACCGGTGCCTGAATCCTTTGCCCCTTGGTCCTCCCACAGAGCCTGGGTGTCATCCTGAGGGTAGGATTTGTGGATGCAAGACTGCCCAGGGATGCAGGTCCCTTGTGGTCTCTGGGCCTCCCCGGTGTAGAGGGGGACGCACAAGCCTCAGTGGACAGTGGCCTGGGGCTAATTCCTACATGCTCTGCCATCCACGCCAGCCTGAGCAGGTGAGGTGACTGCTCAGAGCCCCAGCTGTCCCTCTACCATCAGTGAGAATTATGCCCATCTGCGCCTCACCTGGGTGTGGCCAGCCCAGAAGTGGTACTCAGGAATGTCAATTACCTTCCTCTCCAGGGTGCCTAGAGGGGGTCACCCTGCCAGAATGCCCCCCAACCCTGAACCTGGAGAAGCCCTCATGCCTGCTGACCTCGCCTGAGATGCTTAACTGGTGGTCGGCCCTGAGATAGCACGGCTCGCTCATTACCCAGATGAGCCGATGGAGGCCAGGAGGGGCAGGATTCCCGACCCCTGGGCCTGAGCTCCGCATCCTTAGGCCAGAAGAACCCCAGACTCTCAGCCAGGCCTCTGGGAACTCCTTCCTGCAGCGGGTGGGAGGGGAGACCGACTCAGGCTCTTGGTTTTAGGGGACGTCTGCTGAGTCGTACTGCAGCCCCTGCGCCCACCCACGCTTCTGCGTTCTGTCTCCTGTCTCCCGGCAGGTATATCCGCACCATGTACCTGGGGATTCAGAGCCAGCGGCGGAAGGAACACCAGCGACGCTTCTACTGGGCTATGATGTACGAATATGCAGACGTCAACATGCTGCGCCTCCTGGAGACCTTCTTGGAGAGCGCCCCCCAACTGGTGCTACAGCTCTGCATAATGATCCAGAAGAACAGCGCCGAGACGCTGCCCTGTGAGTGCCGCGCCGGCTCCGCCCCGCCCCGCCCCGCCGGCCCCGCCCACCTCAGGCCCCGCCCCCTCTCTGCTTTGGCCCGCGTGGAGCTCCCTGGATGTCCAGCCCAAGGCAATGCTGATATGGCCCACACGGTGGTCCTGAGTGCCACATATTTCCCGGACCGCCCTGTGCGAGCCTGCTCAGCCTTCCCAAGCACCTTGATCCCATGGGCAGCGCGGACAGGGGCCTCCACTGCGCCCGGGGGGGGGCAGAGCCAGCCGGGTCCCAGCGGAACGCACCGCCCTATGTCTCCCAGTCGGGCGGAGGGACGCCAGAGTCTGAATCCCGTTAGGTGGCCGGTGTGGCTTTTTCAGCTGCGCTGCTCTGGCTTCTGGCTCAGACTTGTAAAACAGGCTGCAGGGGTTGTGCTCCACTTGGAGGGTGGGGGTGGCACACACCTGCCCCTGGCCCCAGGTGGCCTCCGGGCGCCTCAGGAGCCTAGCACAGTGCAGACAGCGCGGACCTCTAAGGCACTCTGCTGCAGGAGATGCTCTCCCGTGGTCAGACGCGCCGGTCGAGGCCAAGCCTCAGAACACATGCGAAGGGGATGGGAGCTCCCGCAGGGCAGAAGGCCTCGGACAAGAAGGCCAGAAATGGCGACTCCTGAGGAAGATGGGGTAGTCTGGGAAGACTTGGGATGTACGAATCCTAACATCTGAAGAGATGTCACGGGGAATAAAACCGTCGTAAAGGGCAGTGCCAGCACCAGGGGGACATCAGTTCAGGTGGGAGATATTCCATCTTGCCATGAGAAGATGGTCTCAGGAGGTAGTGAGTGCCTCATCACTAGGAGTACTCAAGCAGCAAAGTTGCTGCGGGGATTCATCATAGGAGCTGCTGCAGAGGCTCCCACCGGAGCGAGGAGGATCTGGCAGCTGAGGCAGCTGGGGAGGGGCGTAAGCCCTTCTTGTCCCTGCTCCTCCCAGCCAGGGGGTCTCCTGGGCTGTCACTCCAGGGCAGTCCTCATACAGTGTCTGCTGCGGCTGGTGATGCTTTCTCTGTAGGTCTGAGTTCGGTGCCGGGTGTACCCCGTGAGATCTGTGGTAGTGGGCTTTGTGATGACTCCGCCCACCCTACACTGCATATGCTGTAGATGGGTAGAAAGATCACTGATGCCATCCTGACTGCTTTACCAGTCAGGTTTTCCATTCATCTTGCCCTGTGCCAACCTCTCCTCCCACCTTGCCATCTCTACACCCTCTGGTTCTCACCAATCATGCAATATTCAGCCTGCAAGATGTAGTTGTGCGCAGTCTCCCCACAAATACAGACTCTGGTGGAATAATGATATTATGATAGAGTCATCTGGACATTTTTGCAGGGTCCTTCTTGAATCTGCTGTCTTAAAAGATTGACTAAAGATAGGAAGAGAGTGCTGGACACGCATTTCTGCTCGTGCCGAGTCCCGTGCCTGCGGAGGCTGCCCTGGTGCTCAGGGTTGGGATGGGTTTGGAATGCAGCCTGCTGTGGCAGGAAAGGCAGAGAGAATTGTGTGTGACCTTCTGCCTTGCCGTTTTTTGGACTTTACGATGCAAGGCAGGTTAATTTCCTAACTGTGCTTCCTCATTGGTAAAGTGGGAGTGATAGCAGCTTCCCGGAGGTGTTGTGAGGGTGGAGTGAGCCCCACACATGGCTCCATAGCACATTACCGGCGCCGTGTGTATGTGAGGCAGCCTGCCATGCTACAGGGATGTCCTCAGCCAGGAGCCGCAGCGTGTGTTGAGGAATAACGGGACACGGCGGGCCTGGTCCCCACCCTTGCGAACCTTTCATCCTCTGGGAGACAGCACGAAACAGTCAGCCATGGGGAGGCTTGATGCAGACATGGTGTGGGGCCGAGGCTATCAGAGGGAGGACGCCCACTGAGGCAGGGACCAAGAAAGCCTCTCTGGAGAGCTTTCACGTAGACTGACGGAACAGCAGGAAGCAGGAGGGAGCAGCAACGGGAACTAGCATGCTCAAAGGGCCGAGGCAGCAAAAGCATGGTTTGGGCCGGTATGGCAGGGCTTGGCAGTAGGCGAGCAGGGAGGAAGCAGAAGGCAGGACCCAGGGGAGGGGCCTGGTGGCCCCACAAACTGAAACTCAGGCCTTGCGCGGGGGGAGAGGTCACACAGAAAACTCTACCATTAGATCTGCACAAGGGAACTCGGCCCCCGGGTCGGGTGCTGGGGTTGTCAGGGTGTAACAGGTTGGAGCCCAGGGAAGCAGGGACGTTGAACAGGGGGTGCATCGGAGATTGTTCCGGAGAGTAAACCATGGGACAAGAAAAGCCTGAAGTGCGTACTGATGGAAGGGACGGTTTCTAGCTGGGCATTAGCAAGAATGGGCCTGGGCCTGGGCCTAGATGGAGGCTTGGCAGTTATAGCACCTTTCCTTCCCCTTGCACTTTTCTGAGGTTTCCGTGCAAACTTTGGCTGGGGTCGGCTGGGGCTCGCTATACCCTCACAGTGCTGGAGCGGCTCTGCCCTCCTCACGGGGCTCTGACCGCCACCTCCTCTTTTTCCTAGCCTGGCCCAGACGTGTTCAGAATGACTTTGCAGTCACCCACCCTTCAGGAGTTTAGGGTTTGGTGCTCTGCATTTTCGATTTTGAAACTTAGGTATTGGTTCTTTGAGAGCACAGAGGAGAAGGCAACTGTTTCTGGGGACATCGGAGAGGAGGTCACATTCAGTCTGGGTCTTGATGCGTGAGTAGGAGCTCACTTGGAGGAGGAGGCTGGGCATTGGAACCACAAGTGCCAAGGAACAGGGCCTGAGGGCCTGGAGGGTAGGTGGGGAGGAGCTGTGATCATGAGGACAGTGGGGTGTGCTGCCCGCAGGAAATGTGGGCGATGGTGGTGCTAGTGTTGGCTGTGCCAGCAACACTCATTAAACTTGGGGAGCTCAGAACCAGCTAGTTTAAGCTTATACAAGTTGATTAACCCACTGAAGCCCCATGGCTGCTCTCAGAGCAGGCAACTTTTATTATTCCCATTCTACGGATGATGTTGCTGAGGCCCAAAGAGGTTGCACACCATGCACAAGGCCATAGGCTTGTGAGGGGAGACTGAGGCCTTTACCCCAAGCCTGTGCTATAAGCCAGGGCAGCTGTGGCTGAGTCTTGAAGAGATAGACTTTCAAGGATTCTGTGGGAGCAAGTCCCTGATGCAAGCGGGGAGGAGGGACTGCCATGCACCATGGCCCAGCTGGGGACCAGCTCACACCCATCTGCACTGGCGTGTGGGTGGGTGTGAGCGTCAGGTGCCCTGTCATCACAATGGCTGGGTCAGAGATGATGCTACTGCCCCTTGCCCGATGCATGTCTGCTGTGGCCTGGTGGTTTGAAAATGTTCTCAGTGTGGGAGCTTCCTGCCTGAGCTACCTCTGCAAGGTGCTTCTGGACAGAGCTGAACGGGAGACAGCCAAGGAACGGGCCTGAGACTTAGGACGCTCTTAGCTCCCCAGAACTCTGCTAGTGACACTCAAGTTATGTCCTTTTGCCAAGCCATTCCTTGGGAATCATTTCCACTCCAAGTTCAGATACAGACATCAGGGCCACCCGCCCTAGGGAAATCCCTAAGGACCCACCATCATTCTGGCCTTGGAAACTGGGAAGACTGAGACTCCTGAGCGGTAAAAGGAGGCCAGCCTCTCTGAAGGCTGCCTGTCCTCCTGATGCCGTGTACATAAAATCTCAGCCTTTGTGCTGGAAGCTGGGACTCAGCCACTATGTAGTTTACCACTTTTATTTTACAGGTGAGGAAGTTAAAGCCCAAGGGAGACCAAGAGACTTGTCCATCACTCAGCAAATTAGCGAGAGGTTTGGTTGTGAATCCCAGTGCCCGCATATCCAATATGGCGCACGTTCCAAGGGTCTTCTTAGGTTTCTCTGTCTCAGAGAAGCCAGAGGAAACCTCAGGTGTCCTCAGAGACCGACTAACTGCAGGGGCCCCTCAACCCTCAGCCAGGAGCATGACAGGAGGTCCCAAGATGGAAGTGGAGATTGGGCGGGGACTGGAACTTGAAGGTAGAGAGATGGGGTACAAAGCTGGTGGGGTGCAGAGCAGCCCTGCTTAGGGAGACATATCAAGGATGTGCTTTCTCCTGGAGGCTGCGCTTCTCTCAGAAGTGAGCAGAGCAGACTGTGACTTGTTCTCCTAAGTGACACTCTGTCACACAACACTTTACAGGAGTTCTGGGACCCTGTGAGTGGGGAGATGTCATCAATAGAGGCCATCTATCCCACTGGAAAGAGGACACCCTAACAAGGAAGGAAGTTGCCCAAAGTCACACCACGAGGAAGGCACTCACAAAGGGATCCCCTGCTCCTTGCCACCCCGGCCCGCAGTTGAGGTGGCAGTGTGACAAGAAGAAGCCATGGTCCAGATGCCATGCCTTGACACTCCCACCTAGACATTCACCACCACAGATCCTAGGGTCACACTTGCATCCATCACAAGAACATCAAGCCCTGCAACTAAGCGTGGGTTTTCCTTTACACAGACGTGTCTGAGGTACATTGAGGCACTGTTCTTTCTGGGTCTTTGGCATCAATGGCCCTAGGAGGTTCTTCTTTCTTAACTCCACTGGCAGACTCCTGGCATCGAAAGCCCTTCCAGTGGCTTGTACTGGAGTTTCACATCTGCTTTCACATCTGCGAGAGCTCTAACCAACAGCAACCAAGCGACTCGGGAAGGCGAGCGATCTTTCCCCTTTCCCTGCTTGCATTAGGCTCACAGGCCTGTGCTGTCTCCAGCTACCAGCTCCATGCGGTGCTTCTTGCCTGAGCATGAAGAGTGTCTCACAGGAAGCTTCGGCTCCCATGGCTCAGTCCCCTGACCGGGCTTCCCGTGGGAAAGGAAAGAATTCTCACTGCTGGCTGTTGGGTTCCTGCAATGCCTCCCTTCTTTCCTCTCCCCGAAAGACATGGCATCCATGTCTCTCCTCTTGGAGCATTTCTTTTCCTTAATTGCTAAATGC